ATGAGTCGCTGTGACATTAACAGATGTTTTTATACTCGATACGCTGACGTCATCATTTCTGGTGTCTCATACAGAAAGTGGATTTTTCCTCCATTTTTTTTTAACCTAATTTTTGTTTCTGAGACAAATAAGAGCCACATGTGAGGACGTTAGTTTTAAATTTTGATAGAACAGTGGCAGTTTAACGTCCTCGTAACTGGATATCAGGCCCTTGTAGAGAAAAATTAATTATTTTCGTCTAGACATCCCAAAATGCGATGTCCACATATGTGGACGCAGGTCCGAGGAGGTTAAGAAAACCTTTTTCACCATCCTGACACTAACGACAGCAATAAATGAGGAAAAATCCTGAGGAGAAGAATCACAACAACAACACTGTGCTGAATCAAATGCTGAAGCTTCAGAGAGTGCAGCTGTGTCCATCTTTGATCCAGTCTGTGGACGTGGCTGCTGAGCTGTACTCACCACGATACCTGACTGTTAGAGTGGAGACACGTACCAGCAGAGCAAGCTGGAGGGAGAACAAACAGCATTTAGAGACGTGCAGGTTTCATTTCCTGAGATGATGTGAGGATGTCAGGAAGTCTTACCACAGTTGTCCCTGATGTAGGTGATCAGCTGACAGTCCTGAGTCAAAAGGAAAGACCTGTGATTACATCCTGTACTAATGTTTCCTTAATGTGGGTGAGGTGGGTTTAAGGTGGACTTACAGTCATGGCTTTGCCTCCAGGAGAACCTCGGGGGCCCTGTGAACAGTGTGATATCTGACTACCATGACAGAAGAATGTTCCTCACATTTGATCAAACAAACGAAGATCTCGACACCTTTTGCCTCATTCACCCCTTCGTGTAAAGTCTTTTATCAAACATTCGCGCTCCGATGGAAGCACTTGGGGTTAGACGAGGACTGAACCGCCAACATTTGGTTAGTAGGTGACCTGAGCTACAGCCACCCCAAACACTGCGTGAAGCTCAGAGATCTTTAAAAACCACACAAAGGATTTTCCAGTAATTTTAAACAAGACAGCGAGAAAACTGAGCTCTGTAAAGGACAGAAATACCTCTGCACCTGTTTAAACTAATCTTTAGAGTTAAGTTTGGGTAAAAAATACATTTTCCTTTATCGTTGTAAGAGAGGACGAAATAGATTTAGAGGAAAACTAAAGTTTTCTTATAAATTAATCCACATCCAGTGATCTTTCTGGCTCCAGGCGCTCAGTTTGTGCAGCATGAAGTCGGCAGCTTCCTAAAGCTTTTCCACACTCACCCTGTGTCCCGGATATCCCGGTTCTCCGGGGACTCCCGACTCTCCCGGCAAACCCGCGTTACCCTACGTGACGGGATCACAAACAAACGTCACTGACGGACTCAAAGACCGAGCTTGATTCAGTTATCTGAGCAGTGGACTCTCACCCCTCGGCCGCGGTTCCCTTTGGGCCCTGGATATCCTTTCGGTCCCTGCAGCCCCTCCTCGCCCTGCAGAGAAAGAAACACGGCTCGTGAGGTAACGCATTTCCAAATCCAAACACAAGCCCTCAAGTCAACTTGCTGACCACACTCATCCCAAGAATAAACAAGAGCGTTCTTATCTCCGGCCTCCAAAAGCTTCTGGACAAACACCAGCGAGTAAAACTGAAAATGTGCTTATTTATTAAGGCGGCCTGTCTCATAAATCCTCGAAAAGGATCCAGTCGACTTTACCACAAAGCTGTGAGAGCTCAGTGATGCTCTGCTGGCAACCTTTTGTGTATGAATGTGTGAAAGCTGCAGGCAGCACGGCGAGGTGTTTATGAGCCACCAGTGTAGGCAGGCTTGGATTAGTTTTACAGGAGCAGTAAGAGTTTAAAGGGTCCTGGGCTGCAGCCACGCAGCACCAGCAGAGGCTCCAGCAGGCGGTCCGGCCCACACACTCCCACCTCAACACGTCCAACAGCAGAAATAAATGTTTATTTGACCGCAAACATTAAAGTTTCTTGGCTACTAACAGAGAAACAGCCCTAATTGGACCCTGCACGGGTGGGTGTGGCTTACATCAGCCTGTGCAACGACTCGATCCACTGAAGAGCTCCTGAACAGTGTTTCTGTGTTACCGTCTGTGAGTATTTGAAGTTTCAGAGCAGCTTTGATACGTTTGCAGTGACATCTCTGAACCCGCTCACAGGTCCATTCTGATTGGTCCGCGCCACGAACACCCGCTGACGTCCAGAAGCAGCGCGAGCGAGCAGCACCGTTTGAATGATGTGAGAGAGCAAGAAGCCAATTTCACTGCGTCACTCTCAGAGCGAACAGCAGAATCACACATCAGCTTTACACCTGCAGGAGTTTCTGCTCAGCTTCGACGTGCATCGCAGAAAACACGCAGATTATTTTGTGTTCGCAGCACTTTCGTGGAGCTCTGTGAGCTCCTGAACTCGGTGGACTTAAAAACTCTCGTTGGACTTCTGTTAGCCTGAAAACGCTCCGATGTTTGGATCCTAACTCGTTTCTGATCCGTTCCCAGCAGGCCGCCTTTCCTGTCTGCGTGTTTACTGCGATTTAATGCCAGGATGGATTCAACCTGATCTGCTGTGAACTCACCCGAAGACCAGGGTAACCAGGGAAACCGGGATCGCCCTGCAAGACACGGCAAGAACGTGAACGTTGTTATGAATGTGAAGCAGAGATCTAGCAGAAGGATGAAATACAAGATTGTGTATTATGAAGGGTCACCTTTGCACCTCGGGGGCCCGCGGGTCCGTAACCATCCCGACCGTCCTGACCCTGAAACACAGACAGTCAGCGCCACTGACATCAAACTGTGTGTCTGAACAGAGCGGGCTCTCGGCTCCTTACCGGCATTCCTCGCGGTCCGTCTGGTCCCGGTGCGCCCTCATCACCGGGATCTCCTGGTTGGCCCTTTAACAGCAACAACAGGTTGTCATGGTGAAGATAACCTCCCCCTTCACACCAACTGGATTAACCCCCCCTGGCTCTATATGTGTGGGTGCAGACTGATAACCAGGCCAGCTGGCATTAACCCATAACTGCGGTTAGAAGGCTAACCTGGAGGCTTCACAATTAAAGCTGATGACATTGTGGTGGCCACGCCCCCCATGTACCCTGCATGGACGTACGTGTATGACCAACTTCCTGCCTTCAGGCCCTGCTGGGTGGAAACTGTGGAGGATGTAATCTCTTCATCTGACCTCTCGGAGTATTCGTCAGCTAATCTCATAAATGTGATCTTATCTGACGTGAAGCGAGGACGTTTATCAGATGTTAAACAATGATGATGTCACACACCTTCTGTCCGTTACCACCGGTCCGTCCAGGTAAGCCCGGGTCTCCAGCGGGACCTGGTCCACCCTGGAGAAAAAACCAGCAGAGTCAGAGCCACACACAGTTCCCTTTTACCTGATTATCCCTGAATGCACCGTGGACAGAGCCCGTCGGTCACAGAGCCTCCGCTCGTCATCAACTTTAACGGCGCTTATCCAAACAGGTGAAGAGTAAACATGGACGCCGCTGGGCGCTGCCAAGTGATAAATCTGAGCTTCATTGGTCCTACATCTCCGCTCGGCAGCTCCTCAGTGACTTTTTATGAGATTTCCTCTTTGGATTTTCTAACAGCGGCTCAGGACTGAGCGCGTCTGGTAAAAGAGTCGAAGCTTAGACTGAGACACTGCGTTTGAATGAGGGAGAGCAGACGTCGCTCTGGGCCGAACTCGACCTGTCTGTCGGTGTTTTCGATGGTGATTGAAGCAAACACAGCGACAGCTGCCTGCAGACTAAACTCGGATCAGTTCTGTTTAAAGTTTCCTCTGAGCGGGACGCTGGACGGTACAGCTTAAAGACTCGTGGCGCTGTGGGGACAGGCCGTTTGTTCGGTGCCTCCGGCCTGCGTCCAGCTTTACGGATGACGGCTTTGTTAAATAACAGACCGCACAGCTCAAAGTACCGAAAATTACATTCGAAATCTCAGCTGCAGCGTGTCTTTGCAGGACCTGGTTACACACATAAAACGTGTATTTCACTCTTTGTTATATTTGTTATGTTCTGTTACATTATTGTGCATCTTCCTGGCATTTGTATCGTTCTCTCTTACTGACCACTCAGCTCATCAAAAACGAAGTGAATGAATACATCAGTGAGTAAGCAGGCTCTAAGCTGTAGACTCTTTTGGTTGGCGGATGTATACGCTGGAAGAAAATAGTTCCTATGTAAAGTTTGTGTCATGATCTTTGGGACACTTATGTGTCACTTATGGTGTGTCACCGCTCTCCTCTCCTCTGCAGCTGACATCTCCAACACTGGATGAGAAGCGCTGCAGGCCAGACGAACTGAACCGCCCTGTTATTCATTAATAACCAATCATGCTGCAACGGAGAGTGACGACTCTGGGGCGCAAGCAGCACTCGAGAGCGTTCGTTCTTGTTGGCGGTGGAATTCATGTCTCGTTTAGCTCAATGTAAAGAAATTCTCTGGTTTAAACGCAGAGCAGTGCACAGATCGCTGAGCTCAAACCACTTACACCAAATAAAACGAGCATTTAACGAGAGGACTTTTTTAAGATGTGCAGGTTCTAAAGTGATGACATGACAGCGGCTTCGGGGAAGATCGGCCCAGACCGCAGAGGTCCAGGTGTTGGCAGCTGCAGCAGCGACCGTCACACTCGGGATTTATGAAACGCAGCGATGAAGGCTTCAAATCCGACGACCACAAAATGAGCCCACAGCGAAACGAGCCTTAACCAGGATGAAGAAACGAAAACCTCAGCGTCTCCAGAGACTCACAAACCAGGCCGTGGATTTGGAAATCGACCGTTTCTGTGTTGCATCTCGTGATTCTGCAGCTTTCATAAGTGTGTTTGTGTAATAAAGGGCAGATTCGGGGTCAAGTCGTCATGATGAGCGGACTCCACGGTTCAGGGTTTGGGCCTTCAGCTACACAGACAGGATCTTTGGGAGAAGCTGAACACACATCGGGGGCCACTGTTTAAGGTGCAAACTGCTGAGACGAGACGTTTCTACCACAAAGCCGACGTGAGGGAAATCTAAACCTCCAGATTGAGCAACAGTCCCAGAGCCAGCTGATCCCACCAGGCTGATCTGCAACTTTACCAAATGTGATGCAAGAACATCCAACGTTTCATCGGCGCTTGCAGCAGCTCTGGGTGGCCTCCTCAGACTGAAGCTCCAGCCGAGCTTCAGGAATGAACACCTGAACCCTAACCATGAAACCATGAAACCATGAAACCATCCAGCGATCAGTCTGCAAATCGATCTAAAGCTGCTCCTCAGCTCGCTGTGGGTCTGCTCCCGCGGTGACTCTGTGTTTACCTCACAGCTCGAGGAGAAGAAACTGAAAATCAACGTTTTCAATAAATGATCAGCTGACCTGAGGTCCAGGAAGGCCGGGGATTCCTCTCGGGCCAGGCTGACCTCTGACCCCTCCGGGACCCTGCAGAGACAAAGGTTAGCGTGTTAGCAGCAGCAGCATGCGGACATTAAGTGTGACTCTTCCTGCCCTGAAGGCTCACCTGTGGACCAGAAGCACCTGGGCTGCCTTCTAGTCCCAGATCTCCAGGTGGTCCAGCTGCACCCTGCAGACAACACACACACACTCGTTTGCATGTCTTAGTGAGAACGTCGAGTCGACTGTAACCCTGACACTAAGACAACATTTTGAGCGTAAAAATGTCTTCAAACCCGTGAGGACGGACATTTGGTCCCCACAGGTACAGTAGCATGCCAATGTTCTGTCCTCACAAAGACACACACACACACACACGCACGCACGCGCACACACACACGCACACACACACAAACACACACACACACGCACACTCGTTTGCAGCTCCGAGTGTGTTCGTGTCCTACCTTGTCACCCAGTCGTCCCCGTCTTCCGTTTGGTCCCTGAGGAGAAGTCCACATATCTGATCAATAATCTCACAGCTGTTACATCAGAGGTCTCCAACCTTTTTTGCGCCACGGACCGGTTAATGCCCGACAATATTTTCACAGACCGGCCTTTAAGGTGTCGCGGATAAATACAACAAAATAAAACTAATACCGAAAAAAGAAGATTTATTCATAACACACGTGAAAAGACCCAGGAAAACCGAGTAAACGATAAAAACGATAACAAGATAACGCTGAAAACCGATAAAAACCCTGAAAACCAGACATTTCACACCCCAGTCTCACGACTCACGGACCGGTACCGGACCGTGGCCCGGGGACCGCTGTGTTACAGCATCACTGATTTATACACGATCACATGACAGGCTGTGATGCAGGCATTCCTATTTCTGCCCCAGTGAATTATGGGATGCTTTTCTGGAGCTGCTCAGCTGCTGATTTCACTCAGTCAAGCTGTTTCTGGGCGTGTGAGGATGGAGCGAGGAAGACTTTCCCAGAGTTAAGCCTGTCTAAGACTTCCAGGCAGGCTGCCTCGGTGCCTGCAGGGCTGATTTCACTCGTTTATTTGGAATATTTTCAGCAAACGTTGGTTAAAAAACAGATGGTTAAAAACAGCGTTCATGACGAGCTGGCAGGAAGTTCATTCTGAAGGTTTAGTGAGTGAGAGACGACTTCCAGCTAAGCTGAAGCTCGTCCGGCTGCCAGAAGCAGGCGGCTAACTTCAGAGATCTGTGTGAACGCTGAGCTAGTGCTAGTTAGCGTCTCGTGCTCGACTCGCTGCCCCAGCCTGTGGTTAGCAGTAGTATTACACCAGAGTACAGCGCAGCATTGTATATCTCATCGTAGCTGCTTTAATAATCCTGGAATAACAAGATCTGCTCCTCGTGCTGAGAATGAAGAAGCTCACCGGGTTCCCGACGATTCCGGACTCTCCGAACCGGCCGTCCTGCCCGGGTGCTCCCTGTGGATTTGAACACATCACACTTCAGTGCAGGGATTTGAGACAGCAATGACACCAGCACGCTCTTTAGACAGACGTGCATACGCAGCAGGAATCTGTTAAAGAAACCTCGCAGTCTGGGCTCAGACTGTGAGGTTTCACATCAGTACTGCAAATCAGAGAAATGAAGTCGTTTCCAAGCAGATGTCAGCAGGTTTGCCCTCAAACACAGACAGAGAGAAACGAGGCGTCTACTTTTATTTATCTGAGACACATTTCTGCTGCGTCTGCAGGACGACCACAGCATCTGCTCTGGGACGTGTCTCACCGGCAGGCCGGGGTTTCCTGGGTCGCCTTTGGCTCCGGGCGAGGTGTTGTCGGCCCCCGGTTGTCCCTGTCAGAAGAAAGATGAAGCCACAGATTAAGCAGTGAGCGTCCAGCTGTGGCCCAGCTGCGCTTCATGCAAACATTTATTAAAAACTTTGTGTGACGGCAGACGGGCTGCGGTTACTCTGAGTGTGTGGTTCGGTCGCAGCTCGCCTCGCGTCAGCGCCGGCGTCAGCGAGGACCGCTCCAGAGTGCAGGATTACAGAGCGGGAATCCGCTGCCCTCGGTCCCGTTTGTGCCACATTAAAAACCCTCGTGGTGCTCAAACACTTGTAGTTGTCCTCCAAGGCGATAAACATAATATACCTGGATGCCCGTTTGATCATCAGAACACCGTTTCATGTTCCCACCTCACAGTTTAAGACTGTCTGCTTTTGGTTGGTGCAGCTTCGATGCTTCCTGCGCAGAAACATCCAGACTGAAGCTCTCACAGCTTCCTGTCTGAAGACAGATGCTCGTGCGAGCGTCTCATCTGTTTGTTTGTGTGTTTCACAATCACGCCAATGACTTTAACCATCTGCTCTGCATGCACAGATTAATACGCTCGTGTGTGACGGACATCCTGGCTGTCTGGGTTTCATCACAGTTTGCTATTAAAAGGCCCGACAGCTCAAAGCTTTGCTTCAATAAATACAGGAAAGAAGAAGAATGTGCACCCCCCACACCCACGCCCCTTCCCCCTGTGGGACACTTCTGCCCCTCCCTGGGGTGAGGGTGCTTCTTGGCCCCGGGGTGCATGGCTGGATGTTCTGATGTGGTCGTTGGCCTGCTCTCTTGGTGGTGTGGGGGGCTGCTGTCTCTGTGCATCCTTTCATTCTACCCCTGCCTGCCCGTGCTATTGCACAGATAATAAGTCATAACTGAAATAACACAAACAGAAATGAATAAATAAACATGAACTAGAGGAGCCTACATGTATCTGGTCTGGGAAAAGCAAAATGTGTTCGGCATCGCCGTGCATTCACATCACAGTTCAGAGTGCAGAAGCTGCCAGACGGGACAGGATATCAAAGAAGAAGAAATGTTGATGTAAGGAGGAGAGAAAACACGAAAAAGCCAAAAACAGTTCAGAGAGGAGGAGAGACGAGAGAAGACGAGGAAATGTTTGACACTCACCGGATCTCCTCTCAGTCCTTGCTGTCCTTTCACCCCCGTCTCCCCCGTAATTCCTGGGATACCCTAAGGATAACAGTTCAGCCCGTCAATATAAGCAAAGGTCAGAGGTCAGCAACCACCAGCATCATTCCTCTACTTTAAAAAAAAAATCCCACTGTTTCGGATCATTACAGCCTTAGGACCCTACACCACACAACATGTTCCATCTAAACCTGAAGCCTGACTCTGTCATCCCCTATGTAGCCGGGGTATCAGAGAAATTCAGAGTTTTCTCCAAGCATGACATCCCGGTGCATTTCAGACCCAGCAACACGCTCAGACACAAACTGGTTCACCCAAAAGACAAAACGCCAAAACACAGACTTAACAATGTGGTGTTTGCTGTACAGTGCAGCGAGGAATGCCCAGACCTCTACACTGGAGAGACCAAACAGCCACTTCACAAGCGCATGGCACAACACAGAAGAGCCACCTCCACAGGACAAGACTCAGCAGTCCATCTGCATCTAAAGGTCAAAGGTCACTCTTTCGAGGATGCCAATGTTCACATTTTGGACAGAGAGGACAGATGGTTTGAAAGAGGAGTGAAAGAAGCATCTATGTCCACTGTGAGCGACCATCTTTGAACAGAGGCGGGGTTTACGACACCAACTCTCTGCCATCTATAATCCAGTTTTGAGATCCTCCCCAGACGCCTTAACGCCCACTCACATCCTGGGCCATCTGACCTCAGGAATTCGCATGATAAGGTGGGGCCAGGTTTCACAATGAACACACCCGAAACTCTGGCTGATTGGAGCCCACACCCAGTTTCACACCTTGGCTCAGGCGATTAGAGGATCATCAGGGGTCCTTTTGTCCCTCTGTGGGGGGAAACTCCCACTAGGTTTATATCTGGGACTCTCCACCATTTGACCTTAGAACTGAAGAAGCTTCTCGGATGAGAGGTGAAACGTCTTCAAGCAACTTAAAGAAGTCCAGACGCTTTTCTTTCCAAGCTCCTTAGACTACGATGTCCTGGATGACTGAGAACCTTCACAGACGGATCATTACAGCCTCATTCCTAAAGACACCGAGACGGCTTTACTGAAACTCACTAACGACATGATACAGGTGGTTGTAGCTCAGCAACCTTTGACCCCTTTGATTGTCACACTCTCACTAACTGATCTGGCTGCTCTCAGGAGCCTCTCATCTTAAACTGACAGATGTTTCAGAACTGATGCTAACATCTGTACGTCCTCGTGCTAAGGCATCCCTCAGGGCTCAGTCCGGGTCTGTTTGCATCACACGTGTTAGCCGCGGGCTAGCTGCTATCTGCTCTCTCCTTTCCTCCAGCTCGGTCCCGAGGTTCTCGTGTTCGGCTCTGACGGTTTCTTTAAGGAGGTCGGTCGTTACGTGAACAAACATTTGAAGTGTGCAGTATTTGAAATTTGCCATCCAATCATGTAAAATACCTTTTAGTTCACACTTTTTCTCCCACCTTTATCCCTGTGAGTCAATTTTAAATGTGCCTGTGTTTTTGTCCAAACAACCTCCAACGGTGCAAACCAAACCGCTGCCTCATTCTTGGTTCCCTTCTCTGACTCAGTGAAATTCAGAATTCATTTGAAAATTGCAGTATAAAGTATCGATGTTAAAATAACATTATATAGTTTTTGTTTTCTTTTACCGGGTTGCCGAGGTGTCCTCTCTCTCCTCGGGCTCCATCCCGTCCCGTCACTCCCTGCCGACACAGAAACACAGGAATGCCATTAAGCATGGAAACCCCCCCAATCAGCTCCCTTCCTGAGACGCCCGCTCGTTTCCTCCACGATGAGGACAGAAACTCATCGGCGTCTCTCCATCAGTGAGTCAAATCTGAACCTTTGGATCATTGTCACCAGTGTTGGTCAAGTTACTTGAAAAAAGTAATCAGTAACTAATTACTGATTACTTCCCCAAAAAAGTAATCCTGTTACTTTACTGATTACTTATTTTCAAAAGTAATTAATTACTTAGTTACTTAGTTACTTTTTAAAAACACGATTTACAACCTGAA